GTGTTCTAAGTCCCAGCCTGGCAAACAAAAGGACCCAGGTTCGATCCTTGGTCCTATATGCCATGCCTATGATCCCAATGCCGGGGAGGCTGAAACAAGAGCATTACTACGAGTCTGACCTGCATATTTTTTAAAAAATAAACTTTTTAAAAAATGAAAAGATACATTTACATCAACAAAAAGGTTTAGAACAACATTTATTTTTAATGAAAATACTTGCTTACCATGTGTGGTTAGGTCAGTAGGAGTTAAATAATGGGGTCTGAATTCTTTCTTGAAGGAAGAGTAGGATAGCAATAAAAATTTTATGAGATTTATCAGACTAAGAATCTTAATCATTAGTTTATCATATAATATGATAACTTAATCAGAGACCAGAAATATATATTTGGAAGATTTAATAAAAAATAAAATTATGAAAGATAATTTCATATTTGAAGGAAGGGAATAAAATTTCACTTTTCTATTTTGAAAATTTAGGCTCAAACTGTAAAAATTAAGAGGAGCTTTAAAAATATTCCCTATACTAAATGTATCAAGGAATCATGATGTACTAAAACACTTTTGTACTAACACACTGAAAAATTAGAATAAAAATCCTCTCTGATGTTAGGAAAGTGAATGAATTTTCTGACTCCCAGCTTTCTCATAAATATAACTACTTTTTCCTATCTCATGGAATTGACAATTGTATCTTGGGATCCTACATATTGGTGTTATCATTCCAGAAATATCTGCAAATCTTACACATTGACCAAACATTTCATAAAAATATTACTTCTCCAAATTGTAGCATTACATGAGCATCATGAATAAATGTCTCAGGTTTTTCTTACTTTCTTTTTTCTTTCAGTTCAGTACAGGGTCTACAAGACCTCCCTACACAGACTGGACTCATAGTGATTCTCCTGCTTTCAACCTCCCAAGTGCTGGGATTACAGGTGTATGCTATCACAGCCAGTCTCATTTGCTGTCTCAGTGCACCTTGGGGGTGGGGCCGGCCCAGCACACCAGGGATCAAACCCTAGTCACTGGGTCTGCATAACCAAGTACTTTAGTCCACTGAGCTAACTGGCTGGCCCAAATGTCTCAGTTTTAACAGACTATTATAATTGCTTCCTAGTTTCCAATGTAATATATTTCTAATCATATGATAATATAAATATCTTAAATACAAAGTAAACCAAAAACTTCCATTAATGGTTTCTAGAGACAAGATCAAATGACCAGAAAGCAATAATAAGGGCAATTTATCCTCCCTGGTTTTGAAAAGAGATAGAAGGGGTCACAAACTCAAGAATGTTTTTGGCTTTAGAATCTAAAGAAGGGCCTTCAAGCCATTATTGTAAGAACAATTTCAGGTATGTAAAGAAGCAGAGAGTTCTACCAATAAGCTGAACAAGGACATGGTTTCTCCCCTGAGACCTCCCGCACAAAGCATGGTTCTGCCAGCATCTCAATTTTAGCTTGGTGAGTCCTGAGTTGTACTTCTATTGAAACTTAGAATAACGAATTTGTGTCAATTATTTCATTAAGTGCATAGAACTTTTTATGGCTGCAATATGAAGCTCATACATACTTTATTATGACAGGGGGCAGTACAGTTAATAGAGCCTTACAGCAAAACTATTAATATGTGCAGTTCTCCATTAGAAGCATACCCAAGAGGAAGGGATTCTCTTTTCTCATAATGTTGAATAGTAGTGCACTTTCCAAATTAAAGAATGCATATCATATCCTCATAGCCAAATTAGTCTGTTCCATCAAAGAACATGTGGCACAGAGGTGCCACAAGGGAAGCTACTTGGGGGTTGTGTGGTCATTTATTATCAGTCTGCAGGATCTGTCTGTCTTTTACATAGATGTTTATTAAATTAAATGGGCCATCAGACAGTTAGAGTCATCATTCTGAACTGATTTGTTGGCCTTGTTCTGCACAGGAAGGGAGATAAGTCTCTTCTACACAGTAAAGAAGTCTCTATGAACTTCCACTGATGGAATAAAAGCCCTCTTGTATCTCTTTTGCCCTGCGTCACATAAGGAAGAAATGTAGTAACCCTAGACAGGGAAAAATATAATTATGAAAGTTTAGGTCCCTCCAGGGCATGAGAATTTGGGCCCATCAACACACAGGTTGCCACGCCCTGCCACAGTCACAGCACAGGTAGTGAAGAAGGGAAAGAAGAGCGCTGGCTGCCCTCCTGGCCATGGAAACTGAAGTGCATCCCACTGGCCTCTTGCTCCGAGTTCTCTCTTCCCATCGTCCCTTTCTGATGTGCGCCCTAACATCACCTTTTGTTCAATTCTGTCTGCCAACAGCTTATCACAGTACTCAATAACCCTTGCTGCCTTTTAATTAATATGATATTTTTCCTACAAGTCACAAAATGAATTTTAAATTCACAAATGTTTATAATATTTTCCTGTGTTCAAAATTCAAAGTATTAGTTACAAGGATGGAAATGGCCAAGCTCACGTAACTTAGAAATACTCCATCCCTCCTCAAAGAGTAAAAATATTTTTGCTCAAGAACCCTCTGGTGCTTTTATCCTTAAAGATCTCCAAGTACAGACCAAGTGTATCAAACATGTGTAGATGCCAGGCAAAAAGTAACCAAGTAACTGAAGAGATAAACTTTATAAGTATCCATTGCATCAGTCCCCACGGCTTCTTAGTGCTTAAAGATATCTGTTAAGTATAATTTTACCCTAAATTTTGAAAAACAAAACTATTTGAATGAGATAAAGTACCATCTCTAAAAGATTTAAAAACCCCTTTCTAAATTGAGCTTATCTCAGTCCACTCCGCTTTTCCTTAGTTCACTAGCTCCAAGTTCGAGATTTCTAGGTGGTGTTGCTTTCTCAATTCTTAGTTCTACCACAATAAGAAACTTAACGATCAGAAATTATTGCACTAATGAGAATGCAAATCTATTATTTATTCTCTCTAGTAAATGGGGAAGAAGAAAGTAACAAGAAAATTAATTGTTTTAAATGGAAAAATATAAAAGCAAATAAACAAATTGCAGCACATGATCGTTAAGTTGTAACTGTCCTCTCATCTCCTTACCAGCTTTCAAATGAGGAATAAGTATTATTAAGGTAATCATGATTTATATGTCACAGATACCTTAAAATATACTTACTCATTGTGTAAGTACTCCATGGCTGTAATGGCTCAGAGGGTAGAAATGTGCTTTCTGGTATAAAGTTCCCAGCTGGTGGGAGGGCTCTTTGGGAGCAGCTATCTTCCACACGCTGAATAAAAGGCACAGAGTGACAGCGATTCTATAGGCAGAAGAATTCAAAATTGTAAAGGCAACAATGAAGAAAAGAATTAGGAGATTCCTGAATTGTAGTCCGTGATGAGATTAGGATAATAAACTGATTAAAAGGTGTATGTCCAGGCTTCATCAGCTTACCATTCCTGAACTCCAGACTCATTCCTGAAACAGACACAATAGCTGTGCAATAGGCATGAATTTCCACTGTACTCAACTGAAGCACTGTGAAAATATCCTACTTGGGCCTGGGGTACTGAGACATAAGACCCAGGCACTTGGAGTCCTCTTAGTCCAAACAACAAATAGTGGATTACTCAAAGAGAAACTATATTTAATTTTTAAGTGGGGAAGAAAGATTTTAGAACTGTAGCTGCAGCATCCCTCTCCCTTTAAAGTGAGAGCTATCAGCAAGAGCTCTGCGCTCTTGGATCACACGTTCACATATGAAGCCTCATGCATCTGGAATATGTGCACAGGTGAGTGCTTTGTGTATCTTTGTCAGAAGTCATTGTGTTTCCAAATCTCAACATTGAAAAGCCCAATTGCTCAGATTTAAAACCAACATACATTTCACTAGTAAATTTGCTATTTTCATTATCATTCTGATATTCTCCATGTCTGTTATTGAATTGCTTCAGAACTTTTATATATATACATTTCCTGGGCTTTACTCTTTTAATATCACAAATGATGTCATTGGGAGATACAGACCAAGAGATGATGAACTACCATTCATCCAAGGAGCTCTGAATTTTTAGACAAACTTAAAAACTGAGATAATCAGAAGATGCAGTTCTTTATTTTGGTGGATTTAATCTATTTCCCAGGCCTGTGGTTTCTGTAAATGTGGTAGAAGTTTAGTAGTTGAATAGCAGCTATTCTAATGAGCCAACTATCAATGAAACATTATCTAAACTTCAGTGAGTCAAACTGATCACCACTCAGGCAGTATTGTTTAATATAAAAACATATGTGCAGTGTTTCTGTGGACCCAACCCAGGACCCACACAGAAGAGCTGATAATGAACTCAATTAGATGACAGAGCAGCAGCCAGCACCACTAGGCTCTACAAGATCAACTACAAGAACATTCTCCTGACCTACTGCCAGTCTGCACCTGAGTGCCTATAAAATCATGAGTTTTCTGGGTCACCTCAGAGAACATAATTATCAAGGGAAGATTATATTGCAACATAACAAAACCTTCCAGGATTCCAGTGTTCAAATCTTTCTTTTTTATTTTAACATGAATTTTATTTTATCATGGAAATAGAACTTTCTCAATGACTTAATTTAGCACACAGAGAATCTAAAATACCTATTAAATTTTGTTACACAAATAAGTGCAATCATTTCAATAATTATGTTCTCCTCTTTTTGATGTAAGCCTGTATTTGCCACTTTCCCATGATTGGAACAAAATACCTGACAGTCAAAACTTAATGGGTGGCTCATCTTGACTCACGGTGTGCAGAGGACTCAGTTGCTGGTGAGTGGGCTCCAAGACAGACAGAATAGCAGAAGGGATGGGGACAGCTCCTCATCCTCGCCCAGCAAGAAAGAGAAGAAAGCAGCAGGGAGGGACACACCCTTTTTCAGTCACACCCTCAGTGACCTGACTTCATGGCAAGGTCCCACCCCCAACACCATGTAAAACAATGAATTCATCAAGAAATAAATCCAAAAAGAATAAATAAATAAATAAAAATAAGAAAGAATACTTACTTGGCAGGGGAGATACCATGATCACGAAGGTGTTTTTCCCAGGACAAGGCTTATCCATTGTACTCAGGATTTGCTGACCCCCGCGATTTCCCCAAATGTGGGAAACACTACTGCATAATTTGTGCTAGTGGGGGACTGCATTCGCGCTTTCCTCTGTAGAAGAAAAAAGAAAAAGAGGAAATGAATCCTCTCAGGAATATGCCTCCCTGATGCTCCACTCCCTTTTCATGCACAGGAGACTTTTGGAGGACATATTAGATTTAAACTTTAACAAAGCCCTTTAACATGCTTCTCCCGCTTGGCCTAGCATGGGAGGCCCAATGCAGCACTGACTTTCTTTTTGCTGAGCCCTCTCACCTTCTTATATTTTACTATTTTCAATCTTCCAGCTCTCACTAGTTCATCATCAATGCACTAAATTTTTATAAGAGACCTTGCAAGGCTGTGAATTGAACTGATATTGCATTCCAGCCACTTGCCAAATCAATATTTGAGTTTGTTTTTAAAGTATCTTAGCCTCCAGGATGGAAGTGGTAAGAAATTTCTGTAGTTGTAGAAAGGCCTTTGGTTTTGGTCTGTTACATGATTGAGGGATTTAAGATTTTGAAGTTGTGCTATTTGACCCCTCAAAGCCTATATGGTTAAAAGTGGGGATTGTTAAAACATGGCCAAATCCAGAGTATGAGATTGATTCATGGTACCATGCTAGGATCAAAGGTTATAGGATTAAGGGTGGATGATTACTAACTCAGTCCAGTAATTGGTGTGGCCTTGTCCCAATCCTGATAGCCTGGATACAATGTAAGAGACAGAAAGAGGATTGTCCTGTTCCTTTCTTGATGCTTTGCTGCATTCCCCCACCACCAACAGTTTCTCCTCTGAGATGCCACCCTTTCTTGGAGGCAGCTAAATAAGCACTAACACCTTTACAAACTGTGAGCTAAATAAACTTTTTCCCCTCTAACTTTGGGTGTCAGGTATTTTTGTCTCAGCAAAGAAAGAAAAATAACTGACACCAAGGGGTCTATTCTTTTCTTTCCTACTCTGTGTACTTCTCACTAGATACAGCACATCTACTCTTGAGCCCAAAATCCCACCCTCAGTTCTTGAATTCTTCAAGCATTAACACTGGGTCTCCATGGTCATCCAGGTTCTAACCGGATATGGAACTTTTACTTATGAAAAATGAAAAAAATTTACTAAAGGGGTTCAAAGTTATGAGCATGATTAAGTGGCACTAGTAGGAAGACATGATACATTGCAAGAGGGAGCCAGCCAGAGCAGGGTAGTACCATGTGTACTGGGATGGAGAGTGCCCCACCTATTCAAGCTCACGTCCTTCACAAAGGCTCAGAATGTGACTGCTTGGAAACACAACCATAACATAAGAGTCCTACTGGATCGAAGTATGCTTATAATCCTCTATGACTGGAGTTATTTTTGAGGAGGAACAGAGAAGTTGAGGCAAGTGTGCAAGCTAAAGTGAACTGAGGATTTGCTGGCAGCACCATGTTGGGCCTTCTAAAAGGAAGAAACTTCAGTTAACTCACCTCTCACAGAACTGAGGGAAAATAAATGTCTTTTGGTTCAAGCCACCCTGTTTGTAGTACTTTGCTGTAACACCTCAGGCAACTCGCCATGCTACAATAAAGAGCTCTCCCTAAATAAATCCTTGTGTAAAAATGTGTCACCCTACATAAGTAAATCCAGTGCTTGCAATCCTCTACCTTGCAGGGAAAAAACTAGGAGCAATTATCTCCTATTTCTGTGGTTAAGTTTTTCACTAGTGCCTGCCTTAAGAGCACCACAGGGAGCACCAGGAGCCTGTCCATGAAGGCCTTGGAGCCCAGCTTTCTAGGCAAAGTCAGAGAAGAGAAAGGTAGAGAGTGTATTTGGCATGGCAAATGGAGTACACAGAACATTCTACAATACCCTGTTACTCAGTGGGTTATTCATGTGTTGTAGTAACCCATTTTTCTGTTTTCTTCATTTTTGTTTTATGTCAGGAAATCAAGTAAGGCTGAATTACTGGCAAAGTAGGGAAATTTGGTTCACAATTAAATGACTAAGTGTTTACAATCACTGCAGAAATTATGCCATGTATGATACTTACTAGAATGTTCTCTCCATCACTATAAAACTGATGGCTTTTCTTTTCTTTCTTTCTTTTTTTTGGATCCTACATACTTTTCATTTTACTTTTTTATTTTTAAAGGGAATAAATATTAGTAAAAAAATAGAAATCACACTAAATTTTACTAAATTACTAAGACAACAGGAATTCAGCAATGTTCATTTTATTGTATATTGTTGTCTTCGAATTAGTTGTTCAGTTAATTGTTCATATTACCAGATATAAGCATCAAAATTGCTTACAAAAAGTTATAAAAAAATGAAAGAGAGAAAAAAATTGAAGCACTAACTTCTCCTTTCAGTCGACCAGCAGAAATCAGCAGTGCAATGATCCAAGCAAAAAGACAGAAGGAAAGAAGTGAGTGATAGCTTTTTATAGCAATCAACAGTTCTGGTGTTGGCAAGCTTCTGGCACCATGGGCTGGCAGCTGGGCTCTGACTTGCATACTTGGACAGCAGATACTCATAAGTGGCAGTGAAATTTCTAGTGTCTATTACTCAATGGTTTAAGAAATCTCCTTTCTTCATCTTCTGTCTTTGCTTTCTTTGTCAATGATTTTCACTGTTTTCCAGTTTTAGAATTGGAAAAATTCTCACCTACATTTAGATCACATCACTTCAGTCTCTGCAAGGCTAAGGAAGCAACTGGCACAATTTCTCAGTTTCCAGAGTAGACTATGGGCTTCTATTCCTATCCAAACATGAAAGAGCTTTGTTAAGTAGGCATGCAAAAACTACTCACTCCAAATTTTGTAAGAAATTATTACAAAAGACAAATGTATTATTCACCTCATTGTACAATGGTTAACTTTTGATTAATGTTAAATTATTTGTAAAAAAAAACCTGGTGATTTTTATATTTTCATATTTTGTTTTCTTAATTAAGAAGCTTTT